AAACTGCTGCTCCTACAGGGTCAGTGGAGCACACTTCCTTTTTACCCCAAACCAGACACTCTTCTAGATTTTTGGGAGGTGACTTGATTCACCTTGTCCTTCAGGTCCCTATTTCTCACACAAGGACTCTCAATCACAAAAGCAAGGGGACTATAAGGTCAAAATAAAGGGACTGAAGAATGGATTCTAGAGAGCTAAAGATCCACTAAGTCAGTGGTGAGGCTGAGTAAGATCAAGTGCTAGATGCAGAGCTGCACTGCAGGCTCTGTCCTGGTGCAGAGCTCCTCGTCCTGCTCCAGCTCTTCTCAGAATGAAGCTGCCTTGATACCAGCAGCTTGGAGCTGTATCTGCATCAGGAGACAACATAGCTGCATCAAGGTGAATTACTTTGCTGGAGAAAGGTCCAAGTTTCTATAGATTGGGGCCAAAAAGAAAGGAGATGGGCAGGGCACCCAAGAACTAAACAGCAGTGATGATGGAAAATAGAGGCCTGAGCAATGAATCAGTAACTCTGGCTGCTCAAGACTGTAGTAATTTTATTATACTCACTCCCAGATCACTGGAGCACAGCTCCACACAGGAGTTTTTGCTTGAGAGGAGATTTGGAAGGACATCTGCTCCAAGGACAAAGCAATTTGAGCAGCAACTCGGGCACTGCTGTGGTGAACACTGACCTCAATGCAAAACTCAAAAAAATTCAAAGGGCAGTTGAAGTGTTGCAATAATTTCCAGTTGGTTCATATCTTCACCTCTCTTGTGAAGTCCCCACAGAGGTACAGCAGTTGAACTGCTTTGGCCTCAGGTGTATTCACAGAGCCACATTTTGGCTCTCTAGAGCACAGGTGAGCTATAGGTTTTTAGGCAGGAAAAGGCAGCACTGATAACATCTGCTCTCCTGGTGACTCCTACTAGCAGCTCCTCTGCCCCAGCTGCTTCCCTTTAGAGAGCTGGCGATGGCTCTAGGCTCAGTGTTATTTCTAAGCAGGAGTGATAATCTGCACAGCTACTGGAGGGTTTAAAAAAGTTAGACAGCAGTGCTGCAGAAGAGGGGCTCCATGTGTTACCATGACACTGACTATGGTCTGCGAGTCTCCAGAAACTCTTCAGCAGCAGCCAGGGCTCCAGATAGATAAATAAAGCAGAATAGGAGAGCGGGCAAGTGGTTTGGGCTGTCTGCAGTAAGTAAATGTTCAGCTCAGTTTTTCCTTGCTGTAACACAAGGGAAACACCCTAACAGCAGATGATGAAGCTCTGAACCAGATGGTATCACAAGGGTGTGGAACCCTCTTCCTCCTCCTTCTCCACTGGGCTTTTGGGGCAGGTTGGACAGACCTTGGCCAGGAATGCTGGGGGTAAAGTCAGCGTTGCCTGCGGCTGTGTGGCAGCCTGGGTGTTTTCTCAAGGTCAGCTACAGCTCTTCCTTCTACCAGAGCTAGGACTTTCCTATAGCAGTTGTCCCCAGATCCATGAATGAGCCAACGCTATTCAACCAAAAGAGTCAGGGCTGCTAGAACAAGGGTTGGGGCAAGCTGAATCCCCGCACTGTGGGGAAGATGATGATGAGGCAGCACATCACATACAGCAGCTGGGGCATCAAAACTCAACCTTCTCCTGGGCAGCAGCTCCTGAACCCTCAGTCCTTGGGCAGGACTTGCTCCTTGAAGGTCAACCATTATTCTGATATTTACTATGGAAACAGCCAAAGGTAGGCGACAGTCCATCGTGCTACATAGGTCTATACACACACGGGAGAAATAGAGCAAATAGGAGCTGCTTGGGGACACAGCCAGAGCTACCATCAGGTGTAACCATGAGCTGCTTTACACCAGTGACACCCATTACCACATATTTGCCACCACATGGTCCAGCAAGTCCCCACAAATGCTGATGGTGGCCCTGCAGCCGCAGGTGGTGGCTCAGAGGCCGGCAGACCTGTTCACCACGTCCCACTGCAAACCCACTGAAGAGGCATTTCACAGCCTTCAGCTTGTGCCAGCATCACGAGGTGACAAGGGCCGGATCCCCCCGGAATGATCCGCCCCATCCAGCCTCCTGCCCATGGTCCTGGGGAGAAAAGCTCAACCACTGGAAAGGCTGCTGCAGGGAGGCTGCTCCAGAACTGCCAGGAGCTGGTGGTACTTAGCTGGGACTGAGAACCCCTACACAGGAATGGCCACACACTGCCACGCACCCCAGCCATCCCCACAGCTGGATTTGAAGCTGCGGGCAGGAGGCTGGAGAATCTGGAGACATCCCTGTGCACAGGGAAGACTGGCCTGTGAAGGGGCTCCATGGAGAACCTGGAAAAAAGTCACCCAGTGCCACCTGCTAACACAGCATAACCGGGGGATACTGCTGCTCTCAGAAATTGATATTTCCCCAGGATTTGAAATAACGGCCACCTTTCCTCCTCTCCTCTTTCTTGGCCAAATCTAGTGCAAAGAGATATCCAGCTGCCCAACAGCCCCCAGGCAGCCTGGGGCATCAGAGCAAAGAGGCTTCTCTGGCCGGACAGTGCCCTTTGGAGCTCCAGGGACCATTCTCCCCCTGGCAGGCCTGCTCCGCAAATATTTATTGAGGTTGGTGTGTGCAAGCACCCTCCCTCCTGCACCCCTTCTTGGGGCATGTGGGCAACCAGATCACTGGTAGGACACTCTATTAAATAGTGCTAATAAATACTTTATTTATCAAAACCACATTAAAATACTCCTAAGACTGTCCCATCTCACCAGGTGCCTTCAGTAGCTGCTCACAGCTTGAGGATCCTGGAGGAGGCTGGGCGAGCTCACGCAGCAGCACCAGCTTCATGGCCAGCAGGACCTCTCGGTGCCCGAGGTGGCTTCTTCTGCCGCAGCGGGACAGCTGGGCAGCCTCCAGCGCCACGTCCCCCAGCAGCCGGGGGCTGCCCAGCCAGGCAAGGGCAGCAGCCGCTGGGCAGGAGGCTCCGGTGGACGGCGTCTGCAGGGAGAACAACCCCCAGAGCATCAGCTCAGCCTTCCGTGGGGTGGCAAAGCTCGAGGAGCTGCCCGCAGGCGCGGGTCAGGCAGAGCTCCCCCAGCCCCATCCACCACACCTTCGATGCAAGTCAAAAACTTCCAGGTTCAGCTAACTCAGGAGCATCCCAGCTTGGATATGCGGATGACCAAGCTGAGTTTGGAAAGCAGACGGCTGCATCCAAGCCCAGTCGGGACATACCTGGTTGAGGAGCTTGTGGATGTGGGTGGAATAAGCCACTTTCTTCTTCTGCCTGTGGGGTCGGAGGCAGAGGTGGCTCTGCCAGGCACACTCGGCCGCTGCCTTCATCCTCAGGAGGGCGGTGGGGTCAGGCTCCATCACTGCTGCCCGCACACGGTGCTGGTTTGACACACGCTTGCTGCAGCCCCAACACCTCTGCTGAGGGAGAGCAGAGCACAAACCCCAGCACCGAGGTGCTGCCTCCACACCGGGCACCTCCACCTCACCCGGGATTTCCCAGGGCATTTACAGGCAGTTAATTAGCATCATACAAATTAGGCATATGCAATAACACAAAATGTATTCAGCATGTTGCATAAAACAAGACCAGAAAACATCCCTCCATGGAGCCAAATACCCCAGAAAAGCAAAGCACAAATAGGATATTTTGGGGGGGATGGTTTGTTTTTGTTTTTTTTTTTTTTTTTCCCCAGCTCACCTCCAGGAGCTCCCCCAGGAACAAGCAGGGAGCCAGGAACTGCTGCCTATAACCAAGGGGGTTCATTGCTTTCAGCTGGGGGCTGCAGGGATGGTGACAAGGACGTGGATGGCCACACTGCCATGTACCTGCACCCCCCAGCTCCTACACCCAAACAAGCAATTCTCACCCAAAATTCTCTTTCAAGTGAGGCTGTGCCTGCTCTCAGGCTCCCCCGCCTTTGTTTACTAATTAGTCTAATTAATCTAATTAGCCTGAGGTGTCTGGTTCTGCTGTGGTACAGGACTTCAGGGTGCCCTGGTATTCCTGGGAGATTTTTTGTGTGGTTTTATTCTGCATTTATTTGAGGGGGTTTCTTGGGGTTCTGTAGGTGCTGGAGCGAGCAGGGCCTGGGAGGGCACCCAAGGGTGCTGGGGGCAGGATATGGCCCTGCTCGGTGGGGTTCTGGGGTGAGTGGGTGTCCCCTGGGTGCAGGATCTGGCCCTTCCCGGTGGTACCCTATGGTGTGGGGGGGTGTCTCTGGGTGCAGGACCATGTTTTGCAGTGCAAGGCATTGGGGCACAGCAAAAGTGGGCCAGGGGGTGCAGGACGCGGCCCCATCCTGAGCAGCATGAGTGTGTGGGTGGGGTGGTTCCCTGGGGTGCAGCACCCCAGGGTGTTTGGGGCGGGAGGGGGGCTTGGGGCAGCGTCTGGGCCTGCAGGGTACGGGGTGGGGGGCGCATCCTTCCCTGCAGGACGCCGTGGAGCGGGGTGGGCGATCCTCGGGTGCAGGATGTGGCCCTGCAGCACCCCGAGGCTGTGGCTCCCCCCCACCAATGCAGATCCTGCAGCACTCTGAGATTTGGGGGGGGGTGGAGGCGGAGACACCCCCCCCCAGCACCCTGTGCTGGGAGGCTGCTCTGGGTGCAGGATACAACCCTGAAGCAGACAGGGTTGGGGAAAGGGGGGGTGCAGGATGCGGCCCTCCTCTTGGCGTGGGGGGGGTTCCCCTGGGTGAAGGATGCTGGGGGAGGGGTCCCCTATGTGTTGGGGGTGCACCCAGAGGTGCAGGATGAATCCCCTTGGGGGGGGGGGGGGGGGGGGGAGCGCCCCCCGCTGAGGGGACAAGTCCCCGGATGCAGCGCAAGGCTCTGCCCGGCAGGGGGCGCTGGTGCTCCCCTCCCCGCGCTGCGCGAAGGGGCGGGGCCGGCGGGGGTGACGGGTTGCACTGCGCGGGCCGGCAGGGGGCGCCGCCACCACGCCCCCCTCCGGTGCCCGCCTCGCGCCCGCCGGCCCCGCCTCACCGCAGGTGAGGCGGGGCCCGGCGGGCGCGAGGCGGGCACCCCCCCCCCCCGCCCCGGGGAGCGGCGGGGCAGCGCGAGCCCAACCGTCGCCGACATGGCGGAGCAGGAGAGCCTGGAGTTCGGCAAAGCCGACTTCGTGCTGATGGACGCCGTCACCATGGCCGAGTTCATGGCTAACCTCCGGCTGCGGTGAGCGCGGGGCGGCGGCGGCGTGTGAGTGGAGAGGAGGAGGGGGGGGGGGCGGCGGCGGAACGGGACGGTGCGAGGAGCGGGAAAGGGCGGTGGAGCCGCCGCCCCCCTCCCCTCGCTGCCTGAGGAGGCCTCGTCCGCCCGCTTCTCCCCCTCTTCGCCTCAGTTTGGCGGCCGGGGGGGGTGGGGGGGTGCGCTGTGCCGGTTGAGTGAGCTGAACCGGCCCCGGGCTGAGGGCAGCGGCCCCTGCCTGCCCCGCTGAGAGTTGACCGAGCTCCGCAGCGGAGCAAGCCATGCACAAAAACTGGGGGATTTTCTACGAAACGGGGGTGCTTGGGTGCAGTAGGTGAGTAGGAGGGTGCCCAGGGTGCAAGCAGGGAGCAGCAAGCCCTGCCTTTGGGTCCATGGGGGCTTTCTGTCACCCCTTTGGAAAACCTCCCTCTTCTGCTGCTCATCAGACCTCATCTGCTCCACTCTCCGTCTTATGCATCTCCCCTCTAACAGGTCTCTCACCTATGCTGACACATGTGCAAAGTTGAGACAGAATCAAACAGCAATAAAAGTCACCAAGTCCAAGGCTGCTTCAGCCCCGTTGGAGCGTTTACAGCCATTCACCAGTGCAGACTTGCTGCATTAACGTTTTGTGATCTTTATGGTCTTATTTCCCTTCTAGACGCGATGGGCTCTGGGAAGATCTGCATTTTCATCCCTGTTTCTTCTGTGAAGTACAACTAAATCCTGAGCAGCACTGATAGAGGACAGCCGGTGGGGACCCTAAGTCTGCGGCTGTCTTTCAGTTTCCGTTATAAAAGATTCATGTGAGCTCTTCCTGATAAACTCTTATGCCCCTGCTTGTGCAAGGATTTGGTAATTACCAAAGGGAAGCCTTTGGGATGAAAATGTGTCTTAGTGGCTATTCTTCCCCTCACCCAGTTTTGCTCAGGCTTTACTGACTGTTCCTCTCCTGCCACTTGCATTCTGGAGATGGTTGAAATCAATAACTTGTCAGGTCTGTACAGTTGTTGGATGCACCTGAGAGTGGCTCTGGCAATTGCCAAGGAAAGAGGTGGGCTAAGTTTCCTCAACTGGCATGAAACTACTGAAGAAGGAGAAAATTCATCTCTTTAAGGTAATTGTGGTGTCTTCCCTTGATGAAATCTGTAGATTTTGAGGTCTGGCTGCATTAGTGGCTGAGTGATTGGGAATCTTTGTGCTACACAACTGGCTACTGGGGTGTACCTGTCTTCTGTGGTGCTGCAAGATCAGGGCTCAGATCCTGGCAGTGTGAGATATAACAACCAGCATATTTGATGCTATTTTTTCTTCTATATTTTGGGTTTCTATTTAAGTACAGAGGGCATTTGTGTTTAAATACTAATAAAAACAAAATGTGAACAGTTGAGTTTTGAACATGAGGAAATGTCAGAATTAAATAAATTTTGCAGTGCTTCTAAATGCTTAAATTTGTTTCTCATCTGTGAACGTGATGACACTCTTCATTGTATTACAAAGGACTTACAGACAAAGTTATTGTGATTAGCAGGAAACTTGCATGTAACTTTTCTTGGGGTTTTTATTTTTTGGTTAATGTGTATTGGAAATCTAAATTAAATTGGAAATGGATTGTTAGATAACATAGCGTGTTAGTTGCATTTAGGAATCAAATTCATTAATTGAGAGGTGCCTTGCTAATTTTATACGAAGGAGGATGGGTAGAACAAGTGGATCCTTAAAATTGATACGTAGTTTGATTTTAATTTTTTTTTCTGTCCTGTTGCATGCTGATCGTGCCTAAGGATATTTGGACATCCCTGCTGTGTCTAATACAGTCAGGTGTCCCCTTAACTCCAGTACCTGGCACTCAAACCCAGGCTTTTCCTTGTGACACCAGTTCAAACTCCAGTTTCTTTTGCACAAGAACGCATGCGTTACTTTGGCTGTAATCGGCAGTTTGCAGCCAGAGTTCTGCCTGCACTTCAAGGTTGTCTTGTGTCTGTGCTGTGGGCAGATTAATCTTTTGTTAAAAAAAAAAAAAAATACTGTTAATTTTTCTAACCTTGGTGCTATCATCCCCTGACCTTAGGCTTGTCTGCACTGAGATGCTTGGGAAAGCTAGTTTGAATTTACCAGAAGTGTGGCTTTTCAGTAAAATTGCTAAACTCTGATAAGCCCTGTTTGATGCTGCCAGGAGAGCTGTGGCCCTGGCCTGCTGACCCAGCTTCGCTGCTGGTGTTACTGCACTTCTCAAGCAACATTTGCTTCTCTTATTTTTACTGCCTTGGAGACAGTAATTAACTTTTGCTGCTGGTACATTTTAAATTGTATCAGACCCAAATTACACCTGAGATTCTGACCTGTCCAGGGGCTGGTGATACCACGTTGTATAGATGGCACGAGTTGCCTTTGTGCTTGTCATGCACGGACCAGAATGGAGAAATTGTTGCTTCTCCATCATTAACTCCAAGTGCCGGGTTTGTTTGGTTTACACTTGGATGGGCTCCACCCTATTCCATAAATCCAGCTTTCTGCCAGAGCTATTTTTGTTAGGGGTCACTGGATGACCCAAGACGGGTTGTGCTGGATTTAGTTCCCTAGTGAGCCCAGATGTGGGTGGAATTGAAATCATACCAGTTTCAGTGCATGCAAGGATATTTCCCCAAGGATGTCTCTAGTGGGAAAAAGAGAAATGGTGAAGTTGCACTTTTTATTACTTTAATATTCAAATCTAGCGGTGTTGACACGGGCTGGATTAGTGTAGCTGATTTGTCTGGCGACGTGAGTACCTGCCTGGGTAGGCAGGATGCAATGTGAATCTGTGACCTCACTTTCCAACCTTTACGCCTCATGCCCTGTTGTTTGTAGGTTTGTGTAGTGATTCTGCAAGGATATCAGAGTGTTAGTATTTTTTGATGGCCATGTCTTACATTTACTTAATAAACTGGCCATTTCATGTGGATGCTCAAACAGTCACTGCGTGTTACATGTTAATTATAAATAAAAGTCATCCAGTCCTTGAATTCCTTAGTTCTGAGTGGGCTTCGTACCAGCATCTGGTTGTGATTCTTAGTCATCAGAATAATTAAAAAAAAAAAAAAAAGCAGGAGTATTGGAACAATTAGTGTGGACTCAGTAGCTAGCTTTGTTTCTTTAAAGAAAACTTCCAGATAATTGTTCTTTAAGTAGTCGTAAGTATGAATTATTATAAACAGCTGTATTGGAGCAGTTTGCCAGACTATCTGCTGAAGTGCACTCCCTTTAATCAGTTCTCTGTTGACCTTTATTGGCAGGTTGATTACTGCAGTAGTAGTTGGCATTTCAATTCCTATCAGAGGATGTAAGATTAATTAAAAGACTCCTTAAAACAGGGAATCTTGTTAATGCCAAACAGCTCTCAGGTCCTCTCACTGGTGTTCAGGGCCTGGTATTTAGCTGTACTCCAAGTCTCACCTGCCTGTAATCTAAAGAACGTCCTGCTCTGGACTTGTTAAAACACTTTCATTTCAGTGGGTGGTTCTGACTTTATGACTGTGCCTATTCTACAGCAGGTGGAGTGAGATAGTGCTTGTGGAAAGGGAGCAGCAGTCTTGCAGGACTTGCTAACGTTTTGCAGAAATTGTGGCATAGATGAAACTTGTGATGTGAACTTCTGAGTAAGAGAAACACAGAACTGTGTATCACCTCATTTTTCATTGTGCCATAATGAAAATTTCAAGGGACAAAAGTTACCATTTTTAATTTACTCCCTTGTAAGGAGGAGGGCAAGGAGGTTATTTTTCACAAGCATGAAATGTTCTGGTTTATATCGGATTTCTTCTGTTATCTTGCAAACACCACTCGTACTGTTGTGTACAACTAGCATTTGTCGTGATTAACAAATCAAAACTCAGAGCTTTAAAATTGGTATCTACGGTATGCAAAGCGGTAGTTTGATTTCTTGAATTATCTGTTCTGCAGTCTTAGTGATAACTTCAGGAATAACTTCAGGTTAGCTTCCCACAAGGTCTCGAATGCTTTGCAGGAGAGTAAGACGTGATCCCTGCTGTGCTGGGCAGTAAGATGATGTGGGGCCCGCCTGTGGATAAACCCAACACCTCTTAATCAGCTGTAAGTGGAAAGCCATGCTGAAATGCAGGAAGAAAGTAGGCTATTATATACTGCAGCAGCGGGGCAGCATTTGGGGTAGTCCCATATGAGCTGTGTGCTTGAGATCTTTCTGTTCTCACATCTCATTTGTGAGCAGGTGCTACTTGACTCATCTTTTCCTGACTTCTAGTGAGTTGCTAATTTTTCATAAGCATTGTGCAAATCCCATCCTGGGAACACAGTAAACCTTTGTCACGGTTATTAAAGAATTCAAGGATGTGTGAAAGGAAGATGGTGAGGGCACGTGATAAGGTGTAATGATCGTAATATTAATTTTGGGGTTTTTTCCTTTTTTTTTTTTTAAACTAGTTCCAGCCTGAAACCTGATGTGGAAGGCTGTACTAGTCATCCCAGCCCACCTGAGACTGAGGATGTGGTGTAAAGCACTACAGTTTAATAGTCTTTGCAGTTGTCTCCCTGCACACATTGTGGTTTCTGACCTCTTAAAGCAACACTTAACAAAAACACAGCTCTGCATTTAGTTAAAAATATGCAGAAGTGTTCTTTCTACTGTTTATCAACTATTTCTTACAGTGCAAACCCCAGCATCATCAAAGCTATCATAAGTTAATGCAACAGCTCTAAATGAATATTCATTCAAGAGATTTTTGAAAGATAATATTTGTTATTATTAATAATTTTTGATATCAACAATCTGTAAAGAAAATCTGGTTCTCCTTTGAGAATTTTCTGTAAGTGTTTGCTTTGCAGGGAAGGGTGAGGTATAGACCGTGGTCCTATAAAAAGCTTGTAGCAAACTGAAACAGGGAATTGGGCTTCAAATGCTGAAAAGGAATATCTTAAAGGGGTTTTCTTGAGATAGTTGTGTGTAGGCTATGCCTTTAGTGTCTCTCAAA